TTACAGTACGTTTTAATTTAGTAAATTAAATTTACATAGTAACCACATGCTGTGTGAACCACATAACTTGATTGTCTATACACCCTGTTTAGTTGTATAACACCTTTCAGGACTAAGTAGGCTAAAGCCTATTAGCTAAAATAGTCACATCACATTTCCTCCCTTCTACGTAAGTCAACAGCCCACTGGAAGCGAGTAACACTTGGTGAGGCGTGTCAGTTGACTTAAGCCTTCCTCATAAAGTCTGTGTACACATGGACGGACAATTTCCGTCACAGTAGTAGTCATTCTAATGCCAACTAACTTGATGGATTTATCGATGGATGATGTCCTCGGATCAACAGGAAGGAATATTTGTTCGATATTAACTCGCAGTGGGAGTGTGTGGTGAAGCTGTGAGCTTTAATCGGAGATCGCGCGGTCTCCGATATGCCTCAATTGGATCAAGAAGCGATACTTCAACGCTCAGCAAATATTGCTGCGTATGAGCAAGGATTATTGAAATATCTATCGCAGAAAATGCCGACGCTAGCTCCGTCACCTCCTTCAAAAGTGGTGGTGGTGGTGACACCGTCGGTACACATAAAACGTCCTTGAAAATCATGGTTAATGGCTATATCGGAAACGAAGATGAATATCTTGCGTTCTGACAGCAAGAAATGGATATCTCTATCACGATGGCTCAGCTTCGTGATGACCGCAGTGATCTTTGCCATGTCGTGTTTGCATGGCCGTATGACGGATTTGGTGATGACGTGAGATGTCAATCACTCTGGCTACTTTGCCACATGGCAAGAGTTAAAACAGGCCATGAATTCGATATTCATTCCACTGAATGTGGCGTGTCGACAACGGTCGAAGTTTTTGTCATGCCGTTAAGACAATGGCATATTGTACGACTACATCCACAGTCTCAATGAGGTTCGTGCCAGTATGGCGATTACACAAAATTGATATTACTTTAATCATAAATTTGAGAATATGTGCTCGTAATCATACTTCTGTACAAATAAAGACGATATGAATATGTAACGAAGAGATCCGTTGTGCGAGCGGGCTGTTTGCTTCGCTTCAAACGCTAACGATGGTTGTACTATTGATTATGGTAATATGTATATATCTGGTATAAGTTTCAATATAATTTATCTTAAATACATGCCAATGATGAAACAACAGAGCAATCTTAATGCTAGGCTATGTGATGACTCTCGTTGCCACTCCTTTGTAGAAGGTCGAACCGAACCTCTGTGCGCTCAATAACTTTGCGATTTTCTATCGCAAGATAAACGGTAGCATTGGTGCAAAATGGGTCCGTGATGATATAAAGATAATGCGGGCTAGGGGTTGGCGAAATATATGCGCTACAAAAAAATCCGTGTCCAAAACGCCTTGCATTTCAGAGCCCTCGACACTGCAAACATGTTGCTTCTGATCCGATCGCTCATCATATTACCCCGTCTATGCCTGACGTCACCATCGATCTTGCGTCAGCTCATATATTGGGCGACCTGAGAGTACATCCGCGATCATATCCAGTCAGCCCGGCTAACTCTTTAACTTAAAGTTTTATCCAGCAGAAAAAATAATACTGCCATTCGCAGCGACATCTTTGGCGGCAACATCGCTATACGTGAAAACTCCTGATATTTATACGCCGCAATCGGCTTTGACCTGACTAAATGCACCCTGAAACTGACTTGTCATACATTATTGTTAGTAGCTTATTTTTTTCCGTGAAATTTTATAAGACAAGGTATCAGAGCAATACCATCAACTTGAAATAAAGCAAGCTTATAGCAAAGACCAAGGCATTATAGACAGCGTGAATTTATTTATCTAAATTTTGAAAGGTATAGAACTAAGCCTCATATGAAGCTTACCTCAGCTCTTCTAATAACGGAATTATCTGCCGCACCTTAACACCATCTTGAACCAAATTTTTGGCGAAATGCGATTGGCTTATGCGTGTCGACATACCTAGTACCGCAATTGTGCACGAAGTCAGCCAAGCCAGCCCAATTCTGTTGGTGGTACGATGTAGATGCACTGGTCAGTTTACAATAAGTATAAACGAGCTGGATTCACCCACAGACCATGAAAAAAAGCATTTCAGAAATGAAATTTGTAGGCATATAAAACGCAGTTGTGTATGATGACAAGAAGCCAGCTTGAAAACTTGCATTCGGGGCAGTGGCATGTCAGGCAAATTTGGTTACAGTAACCAGGCCAATTCGTGACGGAGCATCATCATTCGTCATGAATGCTTATTAGACGGTAAATTGGGCCATCAGGGTACTAAGAATAACCATTTCTCCGCGCATGCAGTTGCTTTCAAGTATGACTAAGTGATTAAGTGATATATCTCACATCCGGTACTAGTACCAGATCAGTGATGTTACCGTCTTGCAGTTTTGTATGCATTTTATTCCCTACGGATTATTTCTCAAGTTTGACGAGCAGTTGCACCCATGTCACCGAATTGATACATATATCTTCTTGCCATACCTCAGCAACTTCGTTCACGAGTGAATATTGGCTCGTGGTCGTGAAGGGTGGGTGAGGTGAAACTCTCTGGTTGACTCAGCCGCATTTCAAAAAAAAGTGACATGATTGGATGATTCTACTCGACATCAAGACTTCGTCTTGGCACATTTACTTTGGCGGTCTCTCCAGTCAGTAATTTTGCGTCCATGGCACAAACCCACCCCGATTACTCTCCTTAGGGACAAAACTTTGAGACCGCAACTTAAGCCACCCTTTACTGTCCTGCTAAAATGTTAATATTTGTGGAAAGCAGCTCACAGCTGTTGATATGCCTCAGCCGAAATTAGTCCTGGGGATCGCAACGTACGATCGCTACATTCAATCTCATAAGAAATGCAATCTGAATGCTGTGTCTTACCACCGCCTTTGCTTCAAACCTTTGCCTGAAAATTTTAGCAGTATCGTTTCTAAATATTGAGGATAATTTTCAAGCCTTGTATCAAAGCTATCCGAACTTCATACTCACACCAAAATTCGCTTCCGCTTTGATTTTTTGACTTATTTAAGCTGCATATGGACAAATGCAACGCACCTATAGCTTTTGTGCTTGAGACTACTCATGGCTCGTAGAATTCCAAAAAAGTCATACATGGGATGAAATTTAGTTCTGAACTACGACGTTCCGCAATGTCAACGTCCGCAGCGTTTATAGGGAGGATCACCATGGCCTTCGACACCTTAACAAAATTTACGTCGCAAGAATCATGGTTACAGTATTCGCAACTGGCATCTTCCGTGTATCTGGTTCTAAGCAACATCTGATCAACACCCACATAATCTCCCAGAAAAATTCATTGCTTTACAAAGCCTAGGACTTCGGTCCTCACGACCGACCGACTTGGTCTTTAAGGTTTCCCTTTATGGAAAGTGTCGCGTTTAGGGATGAGACTTTTGACTACAATATCCAGAAAAATCAACTGAAATTGGTTGTATAAAAGTAGGCGTGGCGCTAATCAATGATTTCCGCAAGTGTGGACCGTATTTAGATATAACACACATCGCTTCCGCGAGAGTGATTGATTAAGCCCAATGTTTTTGTGTGACGCACCTCATGCAGTAAGCAATTCTGAGCTATAGGATCTCGTAACATCTGCCACTTAAGAAGTCCCATTGACAAAATTTCTTCGTCGAATTACCAAACCCAAAGCTGGCTTAACCTCTCGTATCCAACATAAAGTTATCTGAATTTTCTTTTAAGCTATAGAAGAAGATTCGCCGTATAGATCTCTATGAGAGTCGTTGCATAATCGTCTGATGTAAAAACACAAGCACTTATCACATCCACGCAAATATATACCCGACGAAGGCCTTCATACCAGCAATAACCACTTCAAGCCTCTAGATTTTTATTTGGGAGTAATTAAAGCAGAACATAAAAAATATTTATTGCTGTCCGAGAACAAAAATGTGAGCATTTTCATGTTCCGTCCTCACTGAAGATACTTGTTCAGTCTCAACCTTCAAAGCAACGATAAATGATACCACATGCTTTGAGTTGCGAAATCCACTCAAAGGAAGCATCGATTCGCGAAGTGCGCATTAATCAACAGAAAGAATATCTTCTCAAAAGAGCTTGCCATGTTAGCGCTTACTCGTTGTAAGTAGGATTATTTATTTGAAACTCAATCTACCTTCAAACGACAGGTAAACTTTATATAATCTCGGAGTATCTGCGTACGGGTGCGGCTAGCAGCATGGCCTTCCGCCCATCTACCTCTCTTAAGGCATAATCAAGCTTTAATCGCGCACTAGGTGAGGAGAACACGCCATCTCGCCCGTCTTAAAGCTTTACGAGCCGTAGCAAATGTCCACCCAGAGCATGTGTCATGCTTGACGCTGCGAAGCACAAAGCACGACGCAGCCATCGAGGCGACAATTCTTGCCTCGCGCCAAATCCATTCACAGCCTCGGTTGTCCTCATGAGATTACAGACTAAAAATATTTCATGCCACAAGGTCAGTCGCCATTCACTAGTGGAAAACGTGCTGTGACGAGCGACCCTGCCTCGCCCCCTTATTATATCAAGACTGAGTGTGCGCGCGGACACGAAAGCAGGGGAATCTTTGCCGTAGTGGAATCTCAGATTTTCTAGAGGTTTTCAGATGAAGATTCATACTACTTTAACCAGTGCTTAATAAAGCATTAGAAAGATGAGATATATCATCAAAGCCCTGGTGTCCTTAGCGACCCGCTATACTTCAAAATGTAGGTCATTTCTTGTTCATTCAAGCCCACTTTCGCGTCCTCTATCGATTGTAGCTCTCTCCAAGAAAGTCGATATGCATCCGACGCTGGCATAAGTCAGCTCACAGATTCGCTGTTCAAGCTTTGCCACCGTACTTTTCTGGCCTGAAGTACCTCCAGCGGCTCAGATTTGCGTCGATAGCCTGGTTTCAATAAATGGTGGGGACGTTGACTTGCCTGTACTAGAGAACTTCTTATCCGACTAAGTCGTTAGAGAGAACTATTGCATTGCTTGGGTCACCCCACGTAGAACACACAATGTGTTTGTATTTTCTTCGGGACGAAAAAGTATAAGTCAACTCCTACTTTGTTACAATCATGAGCGATCCAACAAAGCACGGAACGTGTAATTATCTTATAAGCTACAGAAATTGCATGCGTAGGTAGTATGATTACCTTTTGCCCGTGTGTCTTTCTTCGGCCTCTGGCACCGGCGTGTTGATAATATTTGTCGTAGCTCCCAACCGCATCGTACTCATGACGCTCAATCTTAATAAGAAATCGTTTTGCTGTTGCTTTAAAATCTAGCAAAAATATAACCAAGTCGAATTATATTGGAAGCTTTTCCCCACTAAGGCCGGAGCATTATTTTCACTGATTTCATGGAGCAATTCGCTTTAGCGCCGCGGCATTTTTTTGCAAAAGTACTTTGGAAGGTGTCCGACACAAGGCGATAAATCTGTTCCCCATGGCCATCAAATCAGATGATTCGCAATTGATATGTCCAATCTCACACATAACACCCTGGATGATGTTTAACAAAATCTTGCTGTAAAGCGCGCATTTCTAGCAATACAATGGTTTATAGCAAGCATTGTTAGCGAAACCCTTTTTCGAGTGACAGCTTGGCTTGTTATCTGCCGCTCACAATACAGATGACACGTGAAACGAGACGATGGTCCAAAACGAACACAATGCTGGTATTCCAGGATGCTATTATCATTATACCAGAAATAAATTCGATTCTTTTGGACTGTAAACTTTCTATCAGAACCGCAGAATGGCTTATAGTATCGACGCATGCGGCGAAGATCAAATCCGCAGACGTATTTCACATTTGATCACATATGCGCTAACACATATACGTATGTTAAACAGGGCTACCACATGTCTCTTCTCCACCGGGACATGGGTATTGTGTGTCTCGAACAGCTGTCACGTAGCGCAGGCGAGGAAACGTTGGCGGAGGAAGGCGAAGTCGGGAGCGCA